AGAATACAAGGTATCTGGCACAGTAAAATTATTAACTACATCATTCATGAGCAAGTTCCTATCTAGGAAGGATTCAGTGTCCTGCTTAGAAAGATGAGTTACTATGCACAAATCCCTCATAACCAACCTAAGTCAGGGAGAAAAAAACCCCACAGAATAGAAAAATGAATAAATTAGTGTTGTTTTACTTGTTACTGATTTACTTGCTATTTACTTGCTTTTATTTGCCAAATAACTTAAAAGTGGATCCTAATTATATCTAAATACTGAATACCAATTTCTATTGATTATATCATCCATTACTCATTTTTACATCTTATTTGAAATGACATATTTCAGACTAACAATGTAAGGCAGATCCTCTGATGATCCTCTAACATTTCTGATTATAAGATCTGCAGAATACTACTTATATGCTTGCTTGCATTACAATGAGAATATTTGTTCTTTAAGTTAACAAGCAGACTGTCAGCTTCACAAGTCTTTCTCTTAGTATAAATGGATTTCCAGTATGGCCTAACTCCTGAAAACCTTGATGCCTTAGCCATGCACGTGATAAACTGGATTTTTAAACACATTAATCTGTATTGTAATAAGAAATCCCTTTTGTAAATCTGACTCACAGTGTTTCAAAGTGAACATAAAAAGAGGAAATCAAACCTGACAACACTCATGATAGTAATTCCAACTATAGAAAAGGACCTAACAAATGGAGGAACATGTCACAAAAATCAGTCTAAATATTGCCACTGTCCTCTATTCTTTTGCTAAGCCCAAAGGACAATCTGAGAAAAGATCAGACAACACTGCTTGTGGTTTTGTCAGCCTTTGCATCCTACACAGCTCTTTTTCACCTGTACCATGCATTAGAAGAGAAGGTTTCTCTCAGTTACGGCAAGAAAAGAGTTTTTCTTAGAAAAATGGAGTTATTACTGAAATATAGTAAAACAAATCCTTGCAAATCATGTAATTATCTTCATCTTAACTCAAGACTACCTCATTTTCAGTTCAGTCATAAAAACCTGCTAAATTCCCTTAAACTCAGGCAGCAGATTTCTAAAGCACACTCACAACTCCCCGAAGGTATCCAGTAACCACCTCCTATTATTTTAACACACGTCACCGAAGAGTTTTCAACTGTTCATAGAGATTAAATTCTAGTGCAAATAACCTTCAAAAAAATTGTCTACATTCAGACTTCCTTCAGAAAACATGGGCAGACAAATTCGTAACAATTCAAAGATAAGGTTCATTCCCTTTATGCATATAATGGCATTAAAGGAAAAAGGAAAACATTATTTAAAAAATTTACCAATTACTGTTTCTTAGCACATCCATGTGCTCCATGTGCACACAGACACACCCCTGCACCTGTGGAGCAGTTCCTGGGTTCACTCATTGGTTAACCTTAATGTCTCTGCAATTCTGTTCTGTTTCTAGAATTTAAAAATAAAAAGTTCTAGTGGACAATAATTTTTAATTAGTATGACTCTCTGTATTTAGTAGTATGTAGCTATTAGGAACGAGCCACTTATTTTTTCCAGCTCCAAGTAGATCCACAAGCTATTGTTGGTGTCTGCAGTAAAGCCAGAAATTCAGTAACTGAAGTTAAAGCCATGTCATTTAAATCCAGCTGGCACAATCAAAGTGATTACTGAGCATGTCCTTCAGAAGAGAAACAAAGCACAGAAAAAAAATGAAATATAAATATACACTACATTTTTTAGCAAGTATCCACAGACAGAAGACTTTGAAAAAAAAAGTATAACGTTCAACTCCCTTTGAGGGTTGAGAGTCAAACATCTGAGTATCACTGGTGTGACCTTCAAATGTATTAAAAAATGGATGACACTGGAATTATATTGTTACAGCAATGAGTTCAGCATAATATCCACATTCCTGTGTTAAACAAATTTACATGTATCTACAAATACAGCACAAGTATTTTAATTTTTTCTTTTATTTACCAAGAGGTAAGATCCTGACACTCAAATACAAAAGTATTAAATAGTTTTTTCCCATTTTGCTAAATTTATGCCTCTTAGCTATTTGTGACTATTGCACCAGCATGAGAGAGTAATCTAAGTAAGTCTTGGATCACAGGTATACTGCTTTTGCTACCTAAAATGCCACACTGAGAGTGGGCAAACTGGTCCCTTGGAGAAGTTCTTGGGTAAAAAGTAATTCTCTGAACAGTCAAAACACAGGAAGCTTTTGCTCATTTAATGAGTAAAAATCTTAAAAGAAGAGGCAATAGAGCTGGAGGGATTACCACTCTTAACTGGGAACTCTGATCTTAGTTTTATTTTTTGTGAATTCAAATTACCTCAACTGACAATGGACAGTTAAACCAGAACTTTATATTCTTCTATAATGCAAACATACAGGAAAAGGAAGTGCTTCCTGAAGGATGTAGAAGTAATAACATGATTTTGCTCTGGACTGAACACCAAATTCTACAACCATGCTTTGAGAAATACAAGGTGTAACATTTTACTTCATGTCCAGATCCAAGCAATAGGATTTCCACCTAGGTAATATCCAAAAGCTCTGATTATAACCTTCACTGGGTGGGAATTTCTCCAAAGCTTTGGATAGGCACGGAGCATTTCAGTGTGTCTGAAACCTCAAAGTTCACGTTTTATGTCACAGAAGCTCAATGCCCATCACTTCGACTGAATTTACCAATTCCTCAAACTAAAAACACTATTTACCACCTAAAACTGACAGGCAAAAAATAACATAAATCCATAATGTCTTTGATCCTGTTTGTCTGTGTTAGCAACAAAGGTACAATACATTATCTTCTTACTTATAAATCCATCAATGCCATTAACTAAACAAGTCCAACAGACTCATGGCCTCATGTACAGCCAACTGAAATAAAAGAGAACCTTTCCACTGAAGTCTTTTACCTGATGCCTGTTAATCCCCTTCACACAAGTTTGTCTGTGAACACAATTCTGGAAGAGGATAAAGCCATTTGGCCTATTTTATGCACAGTTCCACAATGTTGCCTAATTAAAAATTCACCACATTCACTTAATTCAGCTTTTTAAGATGTTCTCAGGAGAGTAGTTTGAAAAGGTTCACGAAGATGATGACACCCATTAATCAGCCTATTTTGCAAACCCCATCCAAGTGCCAGAGTACAAACCAAAGCATTGTTTTCACCTATTTGGTGATCAAAGTTCAGGCACTAATATTCCTTTTTCTGTTTCGTTTTGTTTTGGTTTTTTTTCAATCCCCTCCCCACCTCCCCCAAGGAGGATAAAATTTAAAATTTTAGACTTGGAGACAATTTTTTACCCACATAAATAAGATCCTCAAGCACCAACAAACTGTATTTTGAAGGCACACAGGCCATTTTGTTAAATGCACCTCTAACTGACCCTGATTTCTCTTCACGAACCTAACACATAATGCTGATTTTTATATAAGGCAATCCTTAGGACGGACTTCAGGGATTAATTTATAAATACTGTTTCCTTTCTTACTTGTAACTGAACAGCCTAATCAGTTACATTTCTGTAAATACAGAATAACTTCACAGATTTCAGTTATCTAATTTGGGATTGACTCAATTAACACGGACAAATTAATGAGTCAAGGTAGCAAAGGGCTACTATTTAAACATTTTTTTTTCTCTTCAAAGATCATAGCTGTAGTCAGAAGAGACAAAACAACCATGCCAAAATTTAATACAATTTTGAGCTGATAAGAAGCAATCTATCTTTTCCTCAATTGCTGAGCCCTCCATGTATCTTTTCAGGCTAAAACTAAGTAATGTGAATGAAAAACAGTGCATCACTCACTGTGAGAAAGAATTATTGCTGCCATATATAAAAATGCAATAATATCAGCATGTGTAAGCAACTAGTAAAAAATAGAGCAGGATATAAAAAAAAATTGAAGGAAATTTTAACAGTAAAATCTTCTAGTGTCCATGCTTGGTCACCCAATGAGACCAATTACACTTGGAGAGTGAAGTAGCTTCCACTGGAACTTACTGAGACACACAATTTTCTTACATACTCTTCATGTCAAACTTTTGGTCTGTGCCATGATTTTGGAACATTTGGTTTGGAGGAAGTATCAATTTCGCTATTTCCAGTAGATACCTCTTTAGGAGACCTTGAGAAGCCTCTTATCTATCATATAACTTGGGCTATGAAGAAAAATCAATGCTAAAACGTGTGAGAGGTGAGCAAAAATAGCTCTTTGAAAGCAGATCTCTTTCATTCTGCATGAAGATATGATTTCTAGTTGGATGTTTCATCATCTGTGAGCAAAAATATCTTTCATAGCAGTTGTGCAAGGTGCAGCAATATCTGTGTGTCTGTATGGGTAAAGCAGATGGCCAGAAAATTTCAAAATTACTTGATTTTGGAGCATGCAAATTACTACTCATGTGTGCATTTATAGATTCAATTTGCAGTTGCAAGAATGGGATTATTCTAAGAATAATTTCTTTCCTACTTTCTTTGACTTAATTACAGTATCAGAATGACAGTAATTCAGGTACAGATATCAAATGTGGCTAGTTTTCTGCATTAGTTCTTTTTTTTCCCCCAGACTGGAACCCTTTTTATAAGTATATATCTAAAGCAAATATATAAGAATACCAAAACCAGTAACAACAACAGAACTACAGACACAACAATACTGAATAACATGACTATACAGGAATATTAAGTGAATAATAACAACTTCAAAGGAATTTCAAATACAGGTGATTGTATTACGATTGTATTATGACGGATTGTTATGGGAAAGGATACACTGAATGTATGACACTTCTCTGTCTTTAGTCCCTATTTACTGTTAGTCTGAAAGGTGAGACAATATCGGGAAATTCATGACATTACACAGTCACATTTAATCTTCTCTTTCGAAAAAACTGGCAGTTCAGGGTACATATGGCCTTTCTACACTTAAATACTGCAAGTGTAATTGAATAATCATTAATTTTCATTATTTCAGCTCAGACAAAAACTTACCTAAAAATGGATCACTGTATTCTGTATTAGACAACTTAAGCAAGTTGTTTTCCAAAGTCTCCACCACTTTAGCTGCAATAAAGGCAATATCCATATCAGCATTCGCAATGATTTTGTAAGTAAAAGATATACTTTTTAAAGCTGTTTTAAAAGTTTACACTGAAATTTTGAAGAGCACTTTCCATCGGTAGAAAAAATAACAAGATCACTTTAATGAAGAATCCCACTCTATTCCTGAGAGAAGTTCGTCTCGGTAAAATAAATTTCTCGAGTAATAATTAGTGTCTAATGTCTACCAACATTAAGGAAAGATTTATCAAAATCTAGTAGCAAAAGTTAGATAAAGGTTCACACACAGCCGGGCAAGAGTAGATGGCAACAGTTGGCAACAGGCAACACACAGTGATTGAGATCTCCAACTGGACTAGTTTCTCTGATAAGGCATGTTTATCTATTAAATCATAAATCCTAAAATAAAAGTAGTTCCTTATTCCAGCACAAGCTAAAATTCAGAGGGATTTTCTCCCTTTGCTCTCATTTTCTCCATACCACTCTTCCCTGGTTCTGCTATTCATCAATGAATGCATCTGCTCCTACGTGTTCATACTTAAAGACATTTTTTGCCAAAAGCCTAGAATTTATTTTTTCTCTCTCTCCTAGGACAGACTACAGAAACCTTCATGCTCTTTCCCAGCACACCTGAGCACTTTTTTGTCTTGTTTTCAGCGAGAAGGAAATAATATTATAATTGAGAAAAACAGAACAAATATATGTTTAAGTCTCACTTCAGACATTATAAGGATTCACTCAAGAACTCGGTACTACGATAGGTGTAGATGTTTTGTGCAAAAACATTTCTTCAATAAACTGTAGATATCTAAACAAACCAAAGCTTATCAGTAATGGAACAAGCTCCTGAAAGAGAAAAACCTCCTACCTCGTTCTGACACGACATCCACTGTAGCTGTTGATGTCCCTGCACTGAGAGGCTGTGGCTGTACACGATTTGGCTGCAGGAATGAAGAATGCTTGCTCAGGCTCTGAGGATGTGTTTGGCTCTGGACGAGGCATGGCATAGATCTTCTAGAAGGTTTCAATGGATGCTCTTTCACTGTTTCACTCTTGCTTGTATTCATACCTGAGAAAAGCCAGAAGAAAAATAAAATACTAAGCTCTACCATAGTAAGCCATGACAAGGAAAGATAGCTAATTATGAAACCACTTAATAAGTAATCCTCCCACTAAACAAAAATGTTTGGCACGCTATAAGGTTTGAAGATAGTTAAAAAAAACCAACAAACCAAAAAAACCAAACTAAAATACAGATGCCAATGGTATGCCATTCTGTAAAATATTTACACTTTCCTTTCAAAGCTACAAAAATTTTCCCTTCACCATTATGGAAACATATCAATGCTTTTAATACTTTTACCTATTGGGTAACCTTTGTGAAAACACATTGCAGAAGCACTAACAAATGTGGCAAAAAACCCCAACATTCCAAAGTCAGCTGGAACAAAACAGCTGGCACAACAATTTGGAAAAAGCCCAACTCTTAAGAGGTGTTTCTGAGATACGAAGAAATTAAGTTGCTTTCCTAAGGGAATGGGAGAAGCAAGAGTGAGAAAAATTCACTGGCTGAGGTAAAGTAAGTACAGGAAAAAAGGAAAACCCAAACCAAACCATGATGCAGCCACACTCTCTACCTCCCACAAGTAGAGCAATGCCCTCTGGGCAACAACTACCTCCTCACTGCTCTGATTTTCTTGCTGAGTGTTATTCTCTGTGGCACGGGACATCCCCCTGGTCTGCTGGGGCCAGCTGTCCCAGCTGTGTGTGTCCCCTCTGCTCAATGCAGAGACAGAGAGGGCCATGATGCTGCACAAGCACCACTCAGCAACAGCCAAAAACTCTGGGGTGTTAGCAACACTGTTTTAGTCACAGATCCAAAACACAGAACCATACAGGCTGCTACAAAGAAAACTAACTCCCTCCCAGGCAGATCCAGTGAATACGTTCCGGAGTTAACATCAGAAATCTTTGCTACTCCCTTGTTCAAATGCCTCAGGTTACTCCAGCAAGAATTAATGCACTGTGACCTCTGAGAGACTGCTGCCTTTCCTGTCAAAGGGAACTCTATGGAAAGACACCAGAGAAGAAAAAATACAGTCTGCAAAATGTCTGGGATATCTTGATGAACAAGGATATACACACAGATTAGGATTAGAAATACACTGATATTCACCTCTACCAAAAATTAAAGGCAGAGAAAAAAAAACCAAAACAAACACAAACGTATCTACTGGTTTCAATGCCAAGGAAAATTAACTACATGGGGTTTGCTAGGAAGTGTGCTAAAGTTTCCTGTCTGTACAGGATCAGGAGATCTTTTGTGGTTGCTGTACACAAAGATCCTCAGAAGAGTAACGCAGATAGTCTGTTTTACTGCACTATTTCTCTGCTTGACAGTACAATTTACACTACACATGTTCTTATAAATCTTAGTCTCTTAATGATATATTTTACCTCTCTTGACCGCACTAGAAGGAGTAACCTGAACATTTCTCCTGCTTGGAATGCCACGACCTTCCAAGGAATTTTCCCCACGAAAATCTGTGCCACTCGAAGGAGGTGTGGCACTCTGCAAGTCTCGCTCCTTATCTAAACTCAACACAAGTGTTGAAGAGCGTCATTGTGGCAGCCACACTCACACCGCCTGAGCTGGGGCCGAGGCAGCTCCAGTGAGCTGAGGGGTGCCCCGCTCAAATTCCCACACACGCCACACTCACACAGCCAGACAAGGTTTCCCTACCAGCTCCACACACCAGGCTTCCCACAGCAGAGTCTCAGACGTCCGGATCCTTCAAATAATTTAATCGCGTTGCAACAACAGAATAACAGATGGAGCTGGGTGTCCCCTGAACAAAGGAAACCGCAGGTCCTCGTGCGCTCTGTCAGCAGTTCACGGCCGAGCTCCTGCCACCCGGAGCTCAATCTGCAGCTGCACACCGACCTACCTGCACTAAAAGTATTCTTCAGCATCAGAGTCTACAAAGAAGTTCCTCTGATTAGCAGGAAAGCCCCCGCATTTAACTGTAATAGCTAAGATCACTTAAAAACTTCCCCCAAGCTCGCAGAACGTGCTTTGTTCTAAGTGTTTCTCTCACCAAGAACTCGATTAGTAGACCGAGGACAGTTCCTCTGCAGCACAGCACACTGTTCTTGGTCAGACAGACTAAGTATTTAGTAGGACATTAAGGTAGACAGAGGTAAGCATCTGTTGCCACAGGTTTTTAAAAAGGTACGAGCAGAAAGGACTCTGCTTCTTAGTGAAATGGGTGCTATGTGCCAGCAGAGCATGCAGTGGCAATTGGCTGGAGCACTGACAATGCTGTGCTCAGAGCAGAGCAAAGCCACATAATATGTCTGTTGTGCTACTCCAAAGGTTTCTAGGAAGTCTCCTTTGTAGTTCTTCCTAAAAGGACGCGTTTATCAGACAAAAATCTACAGTAGTTAAGGCACAGCAATGGGTAATATAGATTAATACATAAAGAGATATACTTCATAATTGTTCTGTATGGCTTTAATGACCAATCTCTTAAGCAATGATAGGCTGTCAGTAACTATGGGCCCTACTGCATAATTACTTCATGTTGCCAAAAAGGAATGTTTCTGGCATCTATCCTGGAGTCACTGTGCATAGCAAGACGAATCACTATTACCTAAGAAATTTACAGTAATGCAAATAACACATGGTCATTCAATTTTAACCACAATTTAAGTGACATATGTAGAAAAAAGAATATAATTTTTTCAATGAGGCACTGTCTCAATTTAAGAGAAAATTATTCCCTTTTGCTCTCTCTGTGTATTCCCCTGTGTCATTTCAAATGGATTCCTTAATACCACGGTGCTTCTGCCTGAAGAAGGTGAGTCACAGCACAGTAACCTCAGAGCAGATTCGCTGTTACGGTGGTGGTATGACCTTCATGATTAAAATTTAACAAGTTAGTTCATTCTCTGCTACTGTGTCAGAGTACTGTTTTATGATATGCAAGTTTTGGTGGCATTTGCTGTTGCACGCCAGTGCTTACCCAGCTCTGGCACACTTGTGGCTGACACACAGCTTGTGGCTGACATCATCAACTGGGTCACTAAACTGATTTACCGAAATTATTTTTATTCCTTCCTCACTTCGCCACAGGGGTATTTTCTAGAATGTATGTTTCCAACTAGAACTTTGCTTCCTTGCTCAGGAATATTTGGATGTGCAATAATAGACACGTATACACTTAGCAAAAAAAAAAAAAAAAAAAGGAAGAAAATAAAAAAAGTATATACTTGTTTTTAGAACTGTATTTATTGGTTCTTTCCCTGCAAAATATTCCTCTGGCAGTTAGCATGAGCATGGAAATGATTATAGCATGAATATAGAAATCTCTTATATTGGCGAAAAACGTCATTAAAGTTTATGGTTTAATCAGATCCTGCCTTTTTTATTTTAGCACTTCTGCCTTGGGAAGTCTCCTTCCAAGGGGGTGCTGGGGATTCCTGTTATTGAGGCAAAACCCTACATGGCTCAAAGCCAGAACAGACAGCTGTACTACATCTCATAGCTTCCTGATAGAGCAGGCAGGAAAGATGGAGCTAGGATATGAAGAGTTTTTCTGATTGTTAAATGGGGAGGCACAATTTAAACCATGCTCAACATTATGCCAATCTAGAAAGACTCTAAATGAAGCCAGCTCTCGGAGGTCTCCAGATTTTGGCCATGAGAAACATAAAGGAAAAAATCTGCTGTGCCTCATTCTGTGAAATACAGATAGAGTGGATCATTTCAGTACTAGTGAGGAAAAAAAAATTGCCTTTTTGCTCCCAGCTTTAGGTGAAGAAAGTTTGACAGCTAGTCCATATGCATGCTAACCCAATGCTGGAAGCCAGGCTGGACCAGTGCTAATCTCAAAAAGAACAGCCCAGTGACTATTCCCCATTTCATCAAGAATAAACATTGGCATAAAAAAGGAGTAGCTACTACATAAATCAATAGATGGATCACCAGTCCTGGCTCCAGCATTGATCCAAGTGCAGGGGTGTCCAGGGTCCTGGGGGCACTGCCTAGACTTTGTGGAGGTACCTTTTTAAAGACAAGTTTTCTGCACCCTGGAGCTAAGTTTCTCGCTTTCTATGGAAATTAGTTATAATGCACAGTTCATTCTTCTTGACCTTTTTGGAAAGGGGTCTGAGGGCTTCAGGGGTCTTTGCTGGTCTTAATCCTCCCCTACTGAGTCAACCTTTAGTCAACCTCCTCCCTGCATTTTTACTGTACTGTGTTGTGCTTATCTCCAGGGCCTAGAACAAGGACATTTGTGCCAGAAATATCCTAACTCTGTATGGCCCCTTTCACCAGCTACATCCTGTTCTTTCTCACAGTTTGTTCTTACCAACAATCCCTGGTGGGCTCCATGACCATTTGTCTATTGGTATTTGAGACATACACACTAGCTCCCTTTATTCTGGGTTTCTACACTCATGTCATCACAACTGTGACTGAAAAAAATACCTTCTAAATTGTAAAAAAACTTGTGTAAAGCCTTTGCCTTCACATATTATACATCACTATCTAAAATAAAATGTCATTCATAAAACACATTGAATAGAGAACCTGATAAATCTCAAATGTTTCTGTCAATGGCATCATCACAATCAGAATCTTTAATCACATAAATTATGAAGAAAAGCTTGCAACATTTTCCATGACATTTAGGTTAAATGTGAAAACATTTTCACAGTGTAAGTGTGAAAGCTCAGTTTGGAAGACCATTTAGTTTTCAATACTCAGTGGATGTAACAAATACTTACTGTTAAAGAATAAGCTCACTCTGATTGGCATCTACATTACACAAAAAAATCCTTAATGTAGGATAATTACTCTATTAAATTCTGAAAAACCTTAACTGAGAGATACTTCATAACGAATAATAACTTATTTCAGTAACAGCAGAAGTTTTCTTATCTATTTGTAAGACCTCAACACATAGAAAGGGTATTCAGTTTCACATATTAGACCTGTATTTGAGTAAGTCATCCATACTTTCCTTTTTTATATAAAACATAGAATCAAAATGGATAACCTCAATC